CGATTCTCCATTACAGGTGGGTAAAAATTATTTATCTTATTTTTGTATAATGGCCTTTACAAGATCCAAAACTGTACCTTAAAATGAGCCACTTCTTTTTCATTTTGGAAGACACTGGGTATTATATACAACCAAATAACAGAGTGCTTAAGGTTTGTTTCCAAGATTTATAACTGTTTTCAGGAACACAGGGTGTCAAATATGATCCAAATTCTATGTTTCCAAATTAGAACTGGCATTATGTCTTACGTACTTAAATTATGTTACTAGTGAAATGATTGAGTTTTGCTCACTGAGTTTGTTCATATCATAGTTTTCTTTCTGCAATGTTAGCTGAAATGAAAACACCATGTGTTACAGAATATCTTGTGAAAGAAAACTGGATACATATCTACCTGAACTCCAAAAGGTGCTCCTGTTTGAGAACATAATTCTAGACCATAAATTTTCTCAGGATAATTTTCCATTAACTCTTAAAACAAAGGGAAAATATATATACAGAAGCATAATAAGTAATCAATGTAATAATGAAATGTTTAGATAAATCATATATCTAATGTTAACATAATCTGCCAACATTTTATTTGAAAAGATTTCAAAAAATAAGGACTTCTATTTGAGGAAACTCACTGCATAAGCAGGAGCAAGACTTTAAAGAATGCAGACCCAGGGCTAGCCCAGTGGCGTGGTGGTTAAGTTTGTGTGCTCCACTTCTGTGGCCTAAGGTTCACAGGTTTGGATTCCGGGTGTGGACCTAGTACCACTCATCAAGCCATGCTGTGGAAGCATCCCACATACAAAATAGAGGAAGTTTGGCACAGACATTAGCTCAGCGACAGTCCTCCTCAGGCAAAAAAAGGAGGATTGGCAATGGATGTTAGCTGCCTCGCACACACACACAAAAAAACGCAGACCCTTAGATTTCTGGTTTGAAAGAACACAAGCTCTATAACATTCTCTAGGAGGACATAAAACCGAGAAGAAAATGTTCATTTCCTGAGTTGCTTTTAGTTCCACTGACCTAAAGTAGGATGTTCAAAAATAAATTTATTTTCTTTATATTCTACCTTATCATAAAATTCTAAATACATAGAAACTATGTCTATATACATTTTTAAAGCTATTATTATTACTCATTAGCCATAAAATACCTGTGCAAATTTAAATTTAACTCATGCATCTTTTTACCCTCTCTTTCCTCATTTGTATTCATAAGAAGATTGTAAATGACTAGGGTATGAGCAGGAATGACATTCTCAAGTAATCTAAAATCAAGTTTGTTTGCCTCATTTGACACAATGTTCATTTTCAGTTTCTGATCACATGGGGCCACTGCTACACGTGGTGGGCAAATTTCTTGTAGATAACATGCCACCTCTGACAAATAAGTGGTGTAATCTCAAAGAAATTAGTATAAGTAAGGACATAGAGGGTCAGAGATGAAAATGTATGTTCAATATGTGCCTGGTAGGGTAGTATGACTGGAAAGTTGATACGGACCTGAATGTGGAAAGCACTGAAAATGAGGCTAAAGACTATTTCAATTATCCTAAAAAAAATCTCTGATTACATAACTTGATTACTCCAAAATCTTTAATGACTGTCATTTGCCTACCAGCAAATCAGAGAGATTCATGGCATGGAGACCAAGAAGGATAAATTGTTAATGACTATGTTAATGAAAGCTTGGCCTGAGAAAATAGAACATGGGGATGCTTAAGGCTGGAAAGTATTAATGGACATTGGCAAACAATTCCATATGGAGTTTTGATAGAGAAAATTAGAGGATGGATACACGCTTGTGATTTAAAATGTTTGCTATTTAAAATTTATTACTGCAATTTATAATAAAATATAGAACCAACAACAAACTTGATTTCAGCAGAAATAGAGGAGCTGATATAATTTTGAAGCATTTGTTTTGGCCGATAGTTGATATATTTGAAAAGGGAGGCAATGGAGAGACTGAGGGCTGCAGATAATATAGGAAAAATTGCAAACGCAGAGAAGGCAAGATGAGAAATAGCCATGGGAGGGGACACAGAAGCAATATCCTTTAGTGTAGTGTTTGAGGATAAAAGGAAAGCTACAATCTCAAAACAGAGGGTTATCCCTCAATGGAAAATTACTAGGGTTGGTTGAGGAACATATTAGGGATTTTTGTTATGAATATTTAAAAACATCTTGAAATAGATTAAAAAATGTATGGTATATCAGTGAGGTGGCAATTTCTTAAGTTTGCAAACACCACACCTATCTGCTCCAGATGTAAATATTAGCTTAAATGATTGTTTAAATGTCTCATAAGTACTGAAAGCTTAACATGTTCAAAATATCACTTTGATCACTCCATTTTAAACCATATTCTCTAATATGCAAAAATTGTCATGGTCATTGACTCAATTGCAATAAAATCACTAGTCCTTGTTGATCTACCTCTCATCTGTCATTCCCTCATGTCTCTCTCATATAATTCATAATATTAATTATGCTGAAGATATCATCTTGTATGTGCTCCCAACAGTTCGATGTACCTTCTTCTCTCTATCTTTAGCATCTCCACTTTGGCCCAATTCAATATTATATTTCAGCAGGAATCCTGTAACAACTGATTGACTCTTTTAAAATTTTCACTCATAATTTCTACCCCTTTCCAATCCTATAATTCACTATCATCATAACAGCAAGAATAATCTTTTTAAAACTTAAAACTGGTCATGTTTACCTATCTTAAAATTTATCGGCTCCTAACAATTTACTTAGAATAAAATCCAAATAGTTATTATGACCTACATCATCTGAGAATAGTAATTCTCCACGTCCTCATTATTATCCAGTCACACTGGTCTCCATTAAGTTCCCCCTCAAAAAGAACTAAAAAACACAAACAAAACCTCAGTTATTCTCTACCCTGGAACAGCATTTCCAAGAGATATACTCCAGCCTGGAATCTTGGAATGTTCTTCCTGTGATTTAGTAAATACTTGTTTCCTTCCCATTTTTTTGAGTTTCAGCTCATATGTCACCCTCTCAGAAAGGCCTTCCTTGACATGCCACGTGAAATAATTCTCAGGTTACCAGATGTACCTTTTTGTTAAATTTCTTATTGCACTTGCTATAATCTACATCTGTCTCATTGATATGTTTTGTTACCAGCCTTTTGTTTCTTCCTTATTATTAAAATAGAACGTCCATGAGATGAGGAATGAGGAATTTATCTGAAGCATGAGTGTTTCTTGGCACAAATAGGAAATCAGCAAATACGTGGTAAATAAATAAATAGGAAGATTATTCAAGGAAACTTAGGGAAAGAATTACGTTTTGTGTCAGAAACAAACTGATAGCAAACAAACTCAACAATGTTAGAAAGTTGTTTTCAACTTATTTTTTACATTGATTCTTCATTCCTTTTTCTCACTGCAGAATAGTTTTCTGTTTCTATTCTATCCTTTCCTAGGAGAGATAATGTCAGTAACTCTGGGCTTTTAAAATTCAGGCTTTCATGATACACATTTTTTTTAAAAAGCATTTTATTGAGGTATGATTGACATACAAAAGCTGTGCATGTTTAATGTCTACAACTTTATAAGTTTGACATCCTTGAAAGTAACACCACAGTCTATGCCATAAACAGCATTCATCTCCATCAATTTCCTCCTGAACTCTTTAATTATTAGTAGTAGTTGTACTATTATTATTTTGTGTGCATGTGTACTTAAATTTTTGATAAAGGGTAGAACTTATGTTAAATGATGATATATTCTTGATTCTCTGGAACTGCCTCCAAATCGTCAGGTAAAAGACTAGGACAGGACTTTTTTGGGCCAGGTGCCCCCAACAGGAAATATCAATTGTGATTGGAAAGGAACTCTATTTGGCTTATATAGGAGCAGATAAGCATTCTTCAAACAAACATCTCTAGAAAAATATTCAATCATATTATAATAGCATACTGATTCTTTAGCAAATATATGCAATGTAATTATCATAGAAGCTCTTTAAAATAAGGATATTTATTATTATTATGATAATGAAAAATATCAAAATGTGAAAAAATATCAAGAAAATGTCAACTAAAAATTAAGGCCAGACATGTTTTATAAATTTTAAAGTGATGTTATAAAAATATATAAATATAAAGCTATATAAAGCTACATAACTATATAAAACTATAGAACTATATAATATATAAATATACATATAAACTATGTAACTATAAAATTATATAAATAAAAAATAGTGATTAATATTGAACCACAGTGGAAACAATATGAGGAATTGCATCAAATTGTGGGGCAAGAAGGAAAAGACTTATGAGAGGGAAGAAAAAGGAAGCTATATCTAATAAAGCATAGAGTGATGCAATTCAAAAATGATAACATTTTCACCGATATCAGTGTTTTAAAATTGAGAAGAGAATCAGGAAACTGACAAATAGATCTGAGGACATATCTCCATGCATTTTTATCTGAGTTAATAAAATATAAAATGAGAAAAAGCAGTTAACAGATATCGATGGTAGAATTTGCAAGTTGACTGTACATCAAACAGAATTTATAGAAAGGTCGAGTAAAGAAAATGGAGCAGGATTTTTGGTATATCGTCTATTCTTGAAGAAAAAGCAAGAAATCTCATACTAAGAAATCACAAAGCAACACAGAATTATAAGAATTGAATTATGGCTTCTATTGTTTGTAAGCTAATAAGATGTTTATAATTTAATGAAGTCATGAGGAAGTAAATCCTCAAAGTATGCATGATGCCGAATCATCTGTTTAATTTAGTGTACTGCCTTGTTCTCTCTACCTAATGATTGTACATTTTATTTATTAGACCTAAAACCTTGAGTTTAATAACTTAGTTAGATTAATACATCTTTGTAGAAAATATCACTCAAGTAATTGTCCTTGCCATTGAACAGCAGTCCTAAAAAAAAATCCTTAAAATTTATAACTATTTCTCCTTTTCTTCCCAAAACAGATGAATTTCCAAACTCTTACATGGCTCCTGGAAATTTCACCTGGGTCACTGAGTTTATTCTCACAGGTATCTCAAACCGTCCAGAACTCCAGATTCCACTCTTCTTTGTTTTCCTGGTCATCTATGGATTGACCGTGGCAGGAAATCTGAGCATCATCACTCTCACCAGTGTTGACTCTCAACTTCAGACCCCCATGTACTTTTTCCTCCGACATTTGGCTATCATCAATCTTGGCAATTCTACTGTCATTGCCCCTAAAATTCTTGTCAATTTTTTAGCAAAGAAGAAAACCACCTTCTACTACGAATGTGCTACCCAACTAGGGATGTTCTTGGTTTTCATTGTAGCTGAGGTTTTGATGTTAGCTGTGATGGCCTATGACCGCTATGTGGCCATCTGTAATCCCCTGCTCTACATGGTGGTGGTATCTCGGCGGGTCTGCCTTCTGCTGGTATCCCTCACGTATCTCTATAGCTTTTCCACAGCTGTGGTAGCTTCATCTTCTGTATTCTCTGGATACTGATAAAATGGCTTCTGTGTTTTACACAGTGGTGATCCCCATGCTGAATCCCATGATCTACAGCCTGCGGAATAAGGATGTGAAGTCTGCCTTAAAGAGATTTCTAACAAATCCATGCTCTTCTCTTAAATCAATGTGATTTTAGAACTCTATAGGTAAATGAAGATAGGGCTAAGATTGGCTGCCATTATGTCTGCGAAAGCAAAGATCAGGTGGATGACTTATAGGTTTGCAAGAATGTCATAATCCTGGGAATTAAAAGGTGCTAGGATTTGAGAAGCAGTGATTTAAAAAATAAACTGAAGGTCTTGGAGTTATGAGGTTAATATAGAAAGAAGGCGTTATTCAGTAATTTTGCTAAGTAGTATACTGGTAGATAGATTGAAAGTAATATTTCCAAGTATCAGGAGAGATATATGTTAAAACATATATAAGTTTTATAGGACAAAATATAAATCTTAATGAATGCAAATGTTAAAATAAATCATTTAGGATATCAAGGGAACCCAAAATCAAACGTGGAAAGTGATAGAACTATCTACTGTATTAAAAATGTTTGGGGCTGCTCCGGTGGTGCAGTGGTTAAGTTAGCACGTTCTGCTTCAATGGCCTGGGGTTTGCTGGTTTGGATCCCCAGTGTGTATCTACATACTGCTTGTCATGGCATCCCACATATAAAGTAGAGGAAGATGGGTACAGATGTTAGCTCATGGCCAGTCTTCCTCAACAAAAAGAGGAGGATTGGTGGCAGATGTTAGCTCAGTGCTAATCTTCCTCAAAAAAAAAAAACAAGTACAAAACCTGGGCCAGCCCAGTGGCATAATGGTTAAGTTCACATCTTCCACTTTGGTGGCCCAGGGTTCACCATTGAAGGTCCTTGGCATGGACCTACACACTGCTCATCAAGCCATTCTGTGGAGGCATCCCACATAGAAGAACTAGAAAGACTTACAACTAGGATATATAACTATGTACTGGGGCTTTAGGGAGGGATAGAAAGAAGAAGATTCACAACAGATGTTAGCTCACGGCCAATCTTCTTCACCACAAAGCATTAAAAAATGTGAAAAATTTCCCTGAAGGGAGTCAGACAAAATGTGCTGACCTAAGTAACACTGGAAATTAATAGAGTATGTAAGACTAAAGGCAAAGTAACTATATGTAGGACTGTTCTCTAGTTATAAAGTAAGTTCCCATGTGGGTATGGTTTAACAATTCTGGAACCATTATGCATGTATACTGGAATTAAACAACTAAGTAAATTGGTAGCAGATAGTGGGGGACAGGTTTCTCATTGGTGGGGTAGGAGGTTACAGAAAAACAAAGAGAGGAAACAAGAATCACCCATATGATAATGGATTAGTGTCACATACATCAGCATGCACTCGTATACTCAGCTTACTATAGATACTGTGGATTGTAAGCAAAAATAGTTATAGATATGCATCTATACATGAGTTAGTATAGACATGTATATTTCCTCACTCTGTAAACTGATAAAGTCTGGAATCTCGTGCACATCTCACTAGCGACAAACACATGTACAGCCCAGATGTTAGTTTCTAATAACTTTCTTCAGGATAAGGAGCCAGGGCTCCTTTGAGATTTGACTGATTCTAGGACTGAATAAGAAATTTATATGATGAGCAAAGAGCACATTATAGTGTCTGAAATTAAGAAAGTGCTTAGAAAGAAAGAGAAGAAAGAAGGAAGAAAGGAAGGAAGGGAAGGAGGGATGGAGCGAGGGAGGGAAGGAGAGAGACAGAGGGAGAGAGAGAGAGACAGAGAGGGATGGCTGGAGGGAGGGAGGGAGAGTGAGAGAGAGAGAGAGAAAGAGAAAGAGAGAAAGAGAAAGAAAGGAAGGAAGGAAGGAAGGAAGAAAGGAAGGAAGGAAGAAAGGAAGAAAGGAAAGAAAAAGAAAGGAAGGAAGAAAGAAAGAGAGAAAGAAAAAGGAAAGAAGGAAAGAAAAAGAAAGAATGAAAAATGAGAAACAATGTTGGAGACTGCCAAAATAACACAGGAGCCAACTAAACACGTTTCCAGTGGCCTAAGCCAGAATAATTTGACTAACAAAATAAAGTAGAATTTTAGAGCTGAATTATTATCCCAAGTGTGAAATGACTTCGTGATAACATAGTGATATAATTAAGTGATTAAATACATTACAAATAGGGGGAAAGAATTGAATCTCACAGGGGAAAGAATTCCACATAACTTTTGTAGATCCTATGCCCTCAAGGAAGCGGACCACAACTCTCCACTCCTTGCATGTGAGTTGCACATAGTGACTCCTTTCCAAAAAATATAATATGGAAAGGAAAGGGGGTAAGTGCATAGTGGAAAAACCTGACAAACACTCCCACAGCCATGTGATCAAGATTACTATCAGCAGTGATAAGTCACGTTGATAGTATGTGTTCTTGTTATAATGTGATGAGAATGTCAATTCACTTCCATGATTTTCCTCCTCAAAACTCTTTACCCCAGTCTAAGCATGAGAAAAATGTCAGAGAAAACCCAATTGAGGGATATTTTAGAAAATGCTTGATCAGTGCACCTCAAAAATGGCAATGTCATAAAAAGTAAGAAAAAAACCTGAGAAACTGTGACAGCCAAAAGGAGACTAAGGAAAGATGAGGACCACATGCCATGTTCTCTCCTAGATGTGATCCTGGATTAGAAAAAGTTCATTGGGTAAAAAGTAAGAAAATCTGAATAAAGGATACACTTTAGTTTATTAAAAACAACAGAATAAAAATGATCTGATATTCATCAAATCATTCAGATCTGTGAGTCTTACTGTCGCATACCTAGCTTCTCTTCCTTATCAGTAAATGGACTCGATTCAAAAATAAAAATCTGAAAGATGAACCTATATGTAGTTAATTCTCCTATTTTCTTTAGCACAAACATCTGGGAATGTTTATTCTGGGAGAAGAAAGACAAGTGAACAGATTGGTCCATCAAAATTTGACACCTTATAAAACCGCGTGTTGTGAATGACATTTTGGAAATTTATTATTTTTTTCTGTCTAGGCTTGCATCTCCTCATGGGAATAATTACAGTATTGTGCTGGAAATATAGTTTGTTTATTATTTATATTTATTTATTTATTATTCACAGAACTCTTTTGTTCCCAAATTAATCCTAAAAAATAATACTAATCAGCATACTGCTCTGGTTGATTGGAATAGCAGGCACAAAGCTTTGCTGAATTGTCTTCTTACACATTTTTCCTGACATCCTCCTCTCAGGACACTCTGCAATGCTCCCTAGTCACCCCCACAGAATCCTATTATTGCTCCAAACACTGCTAGTTATTAAGAAATCTTAAAATCTAGAAAGGGAACTCTGACTGTTGGGAAAATTTGAAATCTGATAGTTTATATTGCTTGGAGATGAGGTTGTACTTTTTGAAATTTCCAGTTTTACTTTATCTTCAATAACACTTCTAGTGGAAAATTGAATTCTGAAAGTTATGTGTTTCCAATCTAAATTTTGATTTCATATATATTGAAATCGCTTTCACTGACAGGTTTGGGTTTCCAAGGATTCCATTTTTCTATTGTCGTCAAAATCAGTTTTTTAAGTATGAAAAAATCTCAAAATACTATAATGTATTTACTTTATTCTCACAAATTAATTCAATATGATAACTCAACTAGGTACTTTAAATAAACACCAATGCCCCAAGGGTACTCTCTCAAAAGCCATGACAAGAAACGTGTAACTTCTTTAAAGAGCTCCTGGGAGGTCTTCTGTTTATGTATGACACTGTGTGCTATTAATCTTGTTTCTGAAAAGGGAGGAAATTGGTGTAGTGTTGTAACATAGACTGTGAGTTGCATATGGACGCTTACACTGGTTGTACAATTCTAAATAAGCCTATGAACTTAATATTCAACAAATCTGTCATGTGAAATTTATAGATGAATCATTGTATAAAGTTTCTGACCTCCAGTATAAAAAGCTATGATTTGTGTTTCCATGACTCTCTATAGATAGTCCATTCTGAGTGATGTTTTATGTAACTGTTCACATTAGTATTGTATTTTAGGCCAAAAACTATTAGGCAATCATGTTTAGTTTCCAGAAAAAAATATGTATACCACTTAATTAGAGAGATGAATGGCCTTGTCTAGGAGCACTACTCATTTTCCCCTGTTAAGCCCTACAGTTATTGATTCACCATCTAATATCAGACCATAAATCATGGCATTTTCTAAAAAGACATAAGCAGAGATGGAATATTTGAGAAATAGTGGTAGATTTGTTTGTAAATTTAATTAATGAAAGAAAAATAGTCATTGTATATTCATAGAGTAATTATTTAATATCTTAAACATACAGTTCCTCTCTATATAATTTGTATCTTTTTTTTTTAAAGATTTTATTTTTTCCTTTTTCTCTCCAAAGCTCCGCCGGTACATAGTTGTATATCCTCCATTGTGGGTCCTTCTAATTGTGGTATGTGGGACGCTGCCTCAGTATGGTTTGATGAGCAGTGCCATGTCCGCGCTCAGGATTCGAACCAACGAAACACTGGGCCGCCTGCCGCGGAGCGCACGAACTTAACCACTTGGCCACGGGGCCAGCCCCTATAATTTGTATCTTAATCATAACTCATAGAATGTTATCATGTTGTCATTTTTACGTATTTAGTGCATTGTACGCCCAGTAAAATTTTAGTGGCTATGTATCATGTAAAATGAAATGTAATATTCTGACCCTTTCCCCACTATATTGAAGCCCAGTGTTATAATAGTTGGAAGTTTCTTTAGTAGAAAACTATGTGGTAGATTTACCCAAAAGATATGTTCCTTGTGGATATAAATCATTTTTACAAATTTCTAAGAGAAACTTTCTTATCTAGCTATCTATTATAAGGAGAAGGGGAGTAAAGAGAAGTTCATGTTTTCTCTTAATAGAAATAGAGAATAAAAAGATTTGGTACTGCTCCTAAGATTAAGGAGATCACTAGATTTTATGTCAGAAAATCGGT